GCAAGTGTTTTGCGCCCTGCTTGGAAGAAGGTGTCTAGTCTAAGCCTTGTGACAAAGAACTATTGGGCACAATTGGACCAGTTGAAGCTTGAAGATGGTATTTTTCTCCGGAGATGGGAAAGTGACGACCTGGCAAACGGTTATACCGAGAACATTACGGGAAGTTGTGTTGCGTCAATACCGTGATACTGTAACAGGAGGACATCTCAGAGTTAAGAAAACATTGAGTCACCTACGACACAGATTTTACTGGATAGGTATGTGACAAGCTGTGGAAGAACGGTGCAGAACATGCAGTACATGTTGTTCTAAAAGGGGACCCAAGCATAAGGGACGTGCTCCAGTGATGTTATATCAAGTTGGTGCACCAATGGAAATAGTAGCCATCGACATTGCTGGTCCTCTGCCCCAAACTCATGCTGGAAACAAGTACATTTGTGTGGTGATGGATTATTTCACCAAGTGGCCTGAGGCATATGCAATACCAAATCAGGAAGCTAGAAGTGTAGCTTCAGCTATTAGTGATTTCTTCTTCAGATTTGGTATGCCATATGAACTGCATTCAGATCAAAGCCGTAACCTTGAGCCAGTTGTGTTCCAAGAATGCTGCAAATTGTTTGGCATCCGAAAGACCAGGACAACGCCACTTCACCCACAGTCCGATAGGATGGTAGAAAAGTACAACTGGACACTAGGACAGGAATTGGCAAAGTTTTGTAACAGCCACCAAGATGACTGGGATGTCTTACTCCCTCCACTATTGATGGCCTATAGGACAGCAGAGCATAAAACAACTGGATACACTCCAGCAAAGTTGATGTTTGGTTGGGAACTTTGGTTGCCAGTGGATCTGGTAACAGGACGCCCACCTTATGAAGAGTTGCCTGAGAATGTGTCAGTGTTATCGGAAAGGATGGATGATATTCACCATCAAGTGCATTCAAACTTGAAAACGTCTGCTGATTCGATGAAGTTAACTTATGATAAGAGATCTACTGAAGTCAGCTTTGTACCAGGAGACAAGGTATGGTTGTATAATCCCAGGAAGACCAAAGGGAAGTCTCGTAAGTTGTCTTCTCCATGGGAAGGCCCATATGATATAGTGGATCGTCTCTCAGACGTGGCCTTCAGGGTAAAATGTGGTCGGTGAGGTAAGCCAAAAGTAGTGCATGCCAACAGGCTTTGGCG